TTTTTTCCTTGTTTGCTTAGGCATTGTATACTCACGACAGGTCGGCTTTTCAGCCACGCCCGTTGAAATGCAGACCGGAGTTCGATCCCCATCGGGGATCGAAAGGAATTTCTTGATTTATGTGTGTCATCCTTGCGCAGGGGCCATTTCCCATCCGCGCGGCTGTTTTCAGCCGTGCGATCTCGCAGACCGCGTCGGACGACTTTCCCCACGGCTGCTCCCAAAAGGAGCTAGCCCAGTGGGGCTTTTCTGACTTCGATTTCTGCGTCTGCAGGGTAAGAATCAGATGTTGTATCCTACTGGCTAGCTCCTATTACAGGAGCTAGAGCCACAACCCTTCCATATGAAGAGGTGCAGCTCCAGTAGGCCCATCTCAACACATAGCAGACCCAGCCCGCCTTTCCCAGCCTCTTTGCTGGCCGTCTATGCCTGCCGCGACGGTCTCCAGCTCTTGGTAGGGTAGACTGCTGGGTCCCTCGGCCATCATCATGGTTCTAAACCCCAAACAGTGGCCCTACGGAATAAACAAGCGCGACCAGGATTTTAGGTACGATAAATTTAACCTTAGCATTCCCACAATCGCATGTTTTCCAAGGCCGAGTTGAAAACAGAATACAACTAGCCATACCATTTATCCCGGACGTCAGCCCACTTCTAAATTTTAGAAAAGGAGTTTTAGCCTCTTAGTCGTAGGTCAGGTCTGAATAAACTTCTGGGAGACGCGTCAACCTCATCAAGTCAAAATTCACACAAATGTTAGACAACGCCCGATGTTCAAAATACCAAGCAGATACCCTTGTAAGGGTTTCTGCTCCGATAACGGAGATCGATGATTCCGCCTGATATGGATGACACATATGACATAGACCGCATACTAGAAGAAGACGTGTTCAGAACAGGAGGTCGAGGTCGTCCCCAAAAGCAATACAAATTTAGGTTCGCGTACCAGGAACTTGAGGACGATAGGTGGTTCACACGAACTGAATTGCTAGAGACCGCTCCCGACATAGTTCGTGCTTATAAAAGAACCAAGAAGGGTGAGGATTCTGGAAGGACCTCGAATTTAGGAAGGCGGGAGTGAAAGGGTCTTCACCCGGTTCGTGCGGCAAGTGCAGATCCGAGGGCTCGGTCCCTAGACCTATCCCATACCCTTGTACAGTTACCCGATGGCTTATGTGCCTTGAACCCGCGACCTGTCTCTTAAAACTTATGTTTGTGTGTTGTGTATGTAGTTAGGGTCATGTGGACTTGAACCGTACACTATAGGATTAGTAGTCCTAAGGGTCTGCCCAACCCTTAGCCCAGGATCTTCTAGAAGTCAATAGGTTAGCTGAGTCAGGGAGGTTGTAGAAGTCAGTCGTCCTTAGGTGAGTCAGCAAAGTACACTCCAGTCCCAGTCGCAGTCCCAGTCAACCTTGTCTAGTCAGGAAGTACCAGGTGGGGCTGCACATTCCTTGGGCCCGGGATAGAAGGCAGGCCAGACCACGACGAAAAGGTATAAATAAAGAGGCAGCGCCCAACTATTCATTCATTCGCCTGTTAGCCATGCGGAAGTGCTGCTAGTGCCACTTGTGCGTTGGAGGTCTGCAGGTGCCTGACAAAGAAGAGGGCAGCGGCCATATCCGCTAGTAGAGGAGGAAGACGGCGGCGACCATAGCTGCCAAGTTGCTGATGTGAACAGATAGGACGTAGCATGTGTGTATGCGTGTGCGTGGACATTCAGGGTAGATCCCAGCGTGTGTGTATTTGCAGAGTGAGTCTGATGGTGGACACAGTGTACGGGTGGGAATAAAGACTGACGTTCAGACGCCATAGCCTCAAGCTGTGACAAATTGACTTATACTGAGTTTCTAGCCAAGGGCCATATATTTGAGTTTTCTGTGTAAGCGTTGTGCGCCATCTAACGCTTGTTGGTGATTCTGCCTTGTGAGACATCGTCAGCCATCGACATCTATATGTATGTATGTTGAAAGTGAGGTCGAAGACGAGTCTGATTGCAGAATAGAAATCGACATAGGAACTTGTGCACTTTAGAACCTTCGTGCGGAATTTTCTTTCGAACTTTTCAATTTCAATTCGTCTTTAAGAATTAGGCACAACTTCAGTGGCATTTCGTGTAACTGTTTTGGTGCCTTTTTAATTTCGCGTGCATGCTTCTTTTTGTGCCACGTTCTTGCATGCAATCTTCCCTCGCTTCCCCATGCCCTTTCCTCACTCCATCATTGACAAACTGTAACTGTCTTCTTCTCCCTCCCTTCGTGCTATTTCCTTCTTCTTGCTTCCGTTGAATCTTGATCTTGCTCCACACTACTTCTCGTAACCTCCTTTCCCGCCTTCGTCTAAACGAAAGAAGGCCCTGCTGATCCCGCAAAGTAATCGCAAAAGTCATACGACAGTGTGTAAGGAGGCTTTGAACCCCTCGCCCTGCGATCCGCTTGTCTGCCAAGTACTTTGGATCGACATGGCCTTCCCGCATGCCTCCCCTTTTTCAGTCTCTCCTCTCTTTTATCTCTGACCAACACTCTCTTCCCTTCCTTTTTGCAACTATTAATTCTGCAAGTGCATCGTTTTTGCTCTCTTGCAATGCATCGACCAACTTTGTTGGAGTAGTGGCTAGATGACGTGGTGATCAGCGAGTCCGAACGTCCTGATGAGTCAGCTGCAACTTTGCGGGATTGTAAGCCGGATCCCAGCGACGGACTGCAGGATCCGGGGGAATTCGCATAATAGATGAGTGGATGGGGTGACAATCGCTGGGTTTAGCGCTGAATACGTGGCGGCTGGGATCGCTAGTGCTCGAGCGAGGTGAGGTGTGTTGATGGTTGGTTGGATGGCCTGGAGCCCTATCTCGAGCGAAAGGTTTTGTGTCTTGTCCTTTTTTTCCTTGTCCTATATTTGTGAGTTCAGTTGCATGGCGAGATGCCAGTTCGTCTTCTCAATCCAGCAGGTGTACATTCTCTCTTTTCCTCCTCCCCTCTCGCTTTCTTTCAATGAATGTATGACTGAACGGTGGTTACGCATGTCGGACTTGTGATGGTTGCTTGTGTGAAAGTGTCTCCTTGAGTCTTCTCCCTTGTTTCGCCCTTTCGTTTTCAGGATCTTGCTGGACGAGTCTTCTCCCTCCCTCTCTCTCTCTCTCTCTCTCTCTCTCTCTCTCTCTCACACACACACACACACACACACACACATACACACACACACACACATTCTAGATTGGTAATTTCCTTCTCACACACACACACACACACACACACACACACACACACACACACACACACATACATATGGATCGAGGTGATGTATTGATGATGGATGGATGATTGGTAATTTCCTTCGTCTTCCACTTGCAAGAAGAAAGTAACGAGCAGAACGATTACGCCCCCGTGGCTTATGACCACGAAGCACTCTGGTCGGCTAATGCGTTTTCTTCGTCTTCATCTTGAATGAAAGCACCCTTGTATGACTAGAAGTATGACTTGTTTATGGACATGATCGAAGGGTTTTTGAATGTGCACCCCTTAAAGCTGCTCAACTCGTGAAGATCTTTGCTCTTCATATCGCTTCGGATGGTTGCGGCCCATCCCAGCCAATGATCCGAGTATTTATTTTTGTTGTTATTTCTTGGAAGTTGTCTTCGTTTTTGTTCTTATTGAAGAACTGGTGATCGCCTGTTCGGAAACTTCTTCCTGAACTCATCCATTAGTTTCCTAATTAATCGCCTTTCGTGTAGGAAGCATTAGGCGTGAAAGTCACATCGTATATTGCCTGATTTCCTTTGCGAAGGCGATTCCCGAAGTTAATGGGGGTTGATTTTGTTTTGTGAACGGTGGATGCGTGTGTATCAGCCATGTGGATTGATTCAGCCGAGCAATTGGGGCGCCAACTTCTTGAACATCCCCACCCATGACCTCTTCTGTACAACGAGGATATGACACGTGTCTGCGAGTGGAACGTATGAGAAGCCACGACCAAGATTAGCGGCCCTTATCCCTTTCCCTCCGAGACACGGTGTTCTGAATTTGTCAATTCGGGTTTTGTGATTGTTGATACTCATTTCCCTCCCTACTTTGTTTTGCTTCCTTTCAACGAGTTGATTGTCATCCCATGGCCGGCAATTGCTCCCCACCAGCCTCGCACATTGTGAAGCGATTGTCGCCACACGGAGCGCTTCCAAACCCAAGGGTTCAACCTTCGGACACGTGGCGAAGACGAGTTAAAGGAGAAAGCAGTAAGACTGCGACCCTCCGACTCGGAATCTGAGCTCTGCAAAGAATGTCGTTCATCTCTCGTTCGATACCGAGATCCTATGTGCATTCCTTCTCCCTTTCGGCCTGCGAAAAGGTGTCGTGCTTCAAGCGACGAAGTTCAAAGATATTTTTTGGATTAGGTAGTCGTTGGAAGGGACTTTTTCTTGCCTTTCCAACTGTGCTCGTCACTCCATATCTGGGACCATACGGGAGATTTCAGTTTTGTCTGGGTCTCCGCACTCAATTCTCCAAACATCCTTGGCACCCCATTTTGCCGCTTTCCAGGCCCGTTTTTGCGCTTTAGTCACTCCAACGGGAAAGTTATGCAGGGCGTGAGGTTGTGTGTCAACCACAACCACAACCACCGCAACCACAACCACCACAAACAGAACCCGCGCTTTAGTCACTCTGACGGGAAAGTTGTGCATGGCGTGAGGTTGTGCGTTAAACGCAACCACAACCACAACCACCACAACCATCGCAACCACCACAGCCACCACCACCACCACAACAACAACCACCTCCACAACCACCACCACCACAACCATCACAACCACCACAGCCACCACCACCACAACAACAAACACCACCACAACCACGACAACAACCACCACAACCAGAACCAACAAACAACAACAATCAACAAGACCAATAACAACCAACAACACCAACAACCACAACCACAGCCACAACCACAACCAACAACCAACAACCAACAACCAACAACACCACCAACCACCAACCGCCACGAACCACCAACAACCAATCACCACCAATCACCACCAACCACCACCAACCACCAACCACCAACCACCAACCAACAGCAGAAGCACCACCAACAGCAACAACAACAGCAGCTGCAGGAGCAGCAACGACAACAACAACAGCAGCAGCAGCAGCGGCAGAAGCAGCAGCAACAACAACAACAACAACAGCAGCAACAACAACAACAGCAACAACAACAGCAACAACCACCACCACTACAACCACCCCAACCACAACCACCACAACAACCGTCACAACCACAACCACCACAACAACCACAACCACCACCACCACAGCGGCAGAAGCAGCAGCAGCAACAACAACAACAGCAGCAACAACAACAACAGCAACAACAACAGCAACAACCACCACCACTACAACCACCCCAACCACCACAACAACCGTCACAACCACAACCACCACAACAACCACAACCACAACCACCACAACCATGACAACAACAACAACCAATAACAACAACAACCACAACAACCAACAACACGAATAACCACAACCATCAACCAACAACACCAACAACAACCACCAACACCACCAGCCACCACCACCAACAACCACCACCAACCAACCACCAACCACCAACCACCAACCACCAACAACAGCAGCAGCAGCAGCAGCACCAACCAACAACCAACCAACCAGCAGCAGCAGCAAGCAGGCAGGCAGCAAGCAGCAGCAGCAGCAAGCACAGGAAAGCAGCACCAGCGGCAGCAATGGCAACAGTGACACCACCAACCACCACCAACCACCCACCAACCACCACCAACCATCACCAACCAACCACCAACCACTAACAGCAGCAACGACAGCAGCAGCAGCAGCAAGCAGGCAGGCAGGAAGCAGCAGCAAGCACATGCAGGCAGCAAGCAGGCCAGCAGCAGCAGGGGCAACAGCGGAAGCGATGGCGGCCGGCCCTGCGGGGCCTTTCAACCAACAAGTACCCTTGCGGGTCACACACACACTCAGCCAACAAGCACTCAGACAGGCACGCACACACACACAGACTTGGAAACCACAGCAGAATGCGGGAATCTCAGCAAGGCATCCATTCCAGCGGCAAATCCCAGAAATCAGCAGTGTGTTCTCAGTCTGTGTTTTGGCGGGTCTCTTCTTCTTCTTCTTCTTCTTCTTTCTTCTTCTTCTTCTTCTTCTTCTTCTTCTTCTTCTTCTTCTTCTTCTTCTTCCTCCTCCTCTTCTTTTTCCTCTTCCTCCTCTTCTTCTCCTCCTCCTCCTCCTCCTCCTCCTCCTTCTTTACTGCCTCCTCCTCCTCCTCCTCCTTCTTCTTCTTCTTCTTCTTCTTCTTCTTTTTCTTCTTCTTCGTTTTCTTCTTCTTCTCCGCCTTCTTCTTCTTCGCCTTCTTCGTGTTCTTCGCCTTCTTCGCCTTCTTCGCGTTCTTCGCGTTCTTCGCGTTCTTCGCCTTCTCCGCCGCCTTCTCCTTCCTCCTCGTCCTCTTCCTCTTCTTCCTCTTCTCCTTCCTCTTCCTCCTCTTCCTCTTTTTCTTCCTCTTCCCCTTCCTCTTCCTCTTCCTCTTCTTCTTCCTCTTCCTCTTCTTCTTCCTTCTTCTTCTTCTTCTTCGCCGCCTTCTTCTTCTCAGCCGCCTTCTTCTTCCCCGCCTTCGCCGCCTTCTCCTGCGCCGCCTTCGCCGCCTTCTTCGCTGCCACCTTCTTCTTCTTCTTCTTCTTCGCCGCCGCCTTCTTCGCTGCCTTCTTCTTCTTCGTCGCCGCCTTCGCTGTCGCCGCCTTCGCCGTCTTCTTCTTCTTCTTCTTCTTCTTTCTTCTTCTTCTTCTTCTTCTTCTTCTTCTTCTTCTTCTTCTTCTTCTTCGCCGTCTTCTTCATCTCCTTCCTCCTCCTCCTTCCTCCTCCTCCTCCCTCCTCCTTCCTCGTCCTCGTCCGCTTCTTCCTCTTCGTCCGCTTCGTCCTGCTTCCTCCTCCGTCCTCCTCCTCCCCCTCCTCATCCGCTTCTTCCTCTTTGTCCTTTTCGTCCTCCCTCCTCCTCCGTCCTCCTCCTCCTTCCTCCTCCTCCTCCTCCTCCTCCTCCTCCTCCTTCTTCTTCTTCTTCTTCTTGCTGCCGTCTTCGTGGCGGTGGTGGTCGTCGTTGTGATCATTGTTGTTGTGATGGTTGTGGTGATTGTGGTTGTTATGGCTGTAATAATGGTGGTTGTGGTGGTGGTTGTCGTTATCATTGTTGATGGTGGTGGTGATGTTGCCTTCATTCCTACCACCAGGTTGCTGATGTTGCTGTTGCTTTTGCTTTTGGCAACGGCCGTTGTTGTTGCTGCCGTTGTTGTTGCTGCCGTTGTTGTTGCTGCCGTTGTTGTTGTTGCCGTTGTTGTTGCTGCCGTTGTTGTTGCTGCCGTTGTTGTTGTTGCTGTTGTTGCCGTTGCCGTTGTTGTTGCCGTTGCCGTTGTTGTTGTGCCGTTGTTGTCGTTGTTGTTGCCGTTGCCGTTGTTGTTGCCGTTGTTGTTGCCGTTGTTGTTGCCGTTGTTGTTGCCGTTGTTGCTGTTGTTGCCTTTGTTGTTGTTGCCGTTGTTGCCGTTGTTGTTTTTGCCGTTGTTGTTTTTGCCGTTGTTGCCGTTGTTGTTGTTGCCGTTGTTGCCGTTGTTGTTGTTGTTGTTGTTGTTGTTGTTGTTGTTGTTGCTCATAAAAATGCTGCTGCTGCTGCTGCCGCTGACACTCAAGTAGCGGGGGTAGGCCCGCGGCACTTAGAGCAGTGGGAAAAACACTCAAGTAGCAGGTAGGCCGGTACCACTCAAGTAATGGTAGAAGTGTCGGGTACTGGAGTCCAAACAGAAGATGAAACGGTATTCACCAATTCGTGGTAGCTGAGGCAGATCCCAGGGCTCGATCCCTAGTTCCCCAACTTACCTGTGTACAATACCTGCGTCAACTCGAAGAGTTGAACCTGCGACCTGTAAAACCGCCAGTGGTAGGTAGGTCTGTCGTAGGTCTATAGGTAGCCAGGATTCGATCCGTAGACCT